GGGCCACAGGGGCATTGGCCCTTGCTGAAATTTGATTGGCCCCCTGAAGTGCCTCTGTTCTATCACTCATCTGCCCTTTGCCCAAGAATGATAAAGCTGTGTGCAGTTCCACGTCCAAACCCTAGAGGCGCTAATGAGCCAATTAGAAAAGTCCTGCATCAATCAAAGTGACAGAAGTTTTTTTTTCTGCTCTTAAAATTAGAACAATCCTGCAGAAAAAGTCTTTCAGCTCACAAATGATGACTGGATTCTCTCACATGCTGTGTCTGAGAGTATATGTATTTTATCCATGTACTGTAAAAAATGCATGTAAAATTGGTAAGGAGAATTTACTGTGCAAGCTTTTAAAAAAATTATATGACAAGCATTTAAATGTGTGACTTGTTAAATATATACACCTTACCAAAACCAGGGATTTGTGTGCTGAACAAATACTTGGCCCCTCTRTGAATATTGTGACCCCTTGATGGCCCCCTCAGAAAAATCCTAGATACCATTGCTCCTGGAGGCATTGAATGCATCAAAATAATTATTTGTAAGGTTATGACAATACTTTTAAAAGCTTTTGAATTAAAGATACACTGCAATCTCCTAAACTGCAGTTATTTTGAATTTCTGAGGTAAATATTAACTTGACCTGGAGTGCTCAAGGTTAACATGTATGACTGTGAAGTTRGACTCATATTGAGAAGCATCATCTCGTCGTCTTGTCATTGCACCCTGCTGTCAAATATTAAACCAACTTCACTGCAAGCAGGKCGAAAGGAGACGCAGCTCAGGATCGAAATAAGCCAGTTTGAGAGGTAGGCTATTGTTGATTTTATTTTACGTGTTTACATTTAGGCTCACTATGTGAAAGGGATACCTTCCGTGGCTCGTCGTACATTGATGATTGAAAACATTAATTTAATGTGTAATAACTGGTTCGATAGTCCACAGCTAATGCTAGCTGCGTTAGCATTGCCCTGCTAGCCGCTTGGGGATTTAGCTGCAGGGGAAAAAAAAAAGAAAACTTGTTATAGAAACTTCTGAAAAGGTGTGGCTAGCTTTGTTGTCGATGCACAACACTTTACTGGTAAGTGTGGATAAATCTGTGACCGTGCAACAGCGTTATTTGTTGAAATTAAGGTAAATGTTTCGACGTKCTTCTGGAAACAGTTATCACGTGACTTGTTTACATGAGACTGTGCATGCTGAGCTTATAGTTAGGGCTTATATCGAGTTAGAAATGTCCCCACAAGCGCATAATTTCACGTCGTTTTCTATCCTTCATGTAAAGGGGATGTGTTTAGGAGACTGATGGAGGAGACAGACGAACACGGAAGTGCTCCTGCTGCTGCTAAGAAGACCAGCCGGACGTCGTTGCTGGACAGCGGGGAAGACTTTGAGATTTTAGATGAGGAAGACATTGACGACGACCTTCCTCCTTTGGAAGATGCCGGCAGCGGGAAGGGGGAAAAGACAGATGACACGGAAAAGAAAACAGCAGAAGAGGAGCCAGAACCTTCAGGCAGAGTCGATGAATGGCTGGATGTATTAGGTTTGTTAGAAATGTCACTAAACACGACACAGAAATGATTCTTGCTGATGGTTTTGCTTAAACTTTAGGGGTTAGATGTCTAAGCTAACTTCACTATCTGATCTAAGACAGCACCCGAGACGTTTATTTTACTTTTTGTCTCATTCAAAGTATATAAAAGCTCTTAAACATACACTAAAGTATCTACAACAAGATGTGATGTGATTATTTTTGAATAGACTTTAATGTAAAATATCTTCATGGCAACTGAAATGTTCTGGTATAGTCATATGACATTTATGTGCTTGTAGGTAACAACCAGTTGAAGAAAAAGGCACTTGAGGCAGGAAGGGGACGAGACAGTCGGCCTTTGAAAGGACAGAGTGTAAAGATCAATCTTAAAACACACCTGATGGATGGTACTCTTATAGAGGAGCAGCACGGCCTTTCCTTCACTTTGGGAGATGGTGACGTTATCCAGGTACCAAATATTGGTTGTGTTTTTTTTTTTATGCTGGAACGGTTATGGCTGTCTTTTCATATGTGTGTGTCAGTATAATTTACTGCAGAAACAATTGTCTCCATATAGGCACTGGATCTGACAGTGCAGCTCATGGAAATTGAAGAAAAGGCTCTCATTCACACTGATGCTAAATATGCATATGGTGTCCGGGGAAGGTAGGAAACTGTTTTGAACTTCTTCAAAGTCAGTAGGTTCTATGTATTTTAACAAGCYTAAAACCCACTGCTTGTTAGGAGCACTGGTTTCCCTGCCGTATCAAGTCATTGCTAATCTATATCTCAGACTTGCCTATGCCAAGGACAGATTTGGGAAGATCCTGACTAACTAACTTTTGAGCCACGTTGTTTAAAAAGAGACAAGAAAATCCAAAGTATTCTCCACCGCTCCCTGCTATATACAAGGCGTAGGAAAATAAAGGTTGGGGTAATAAAGCTCAGCCCTGTTCAAACCTGGCTCATTCAGTCACAAGTGGACAGCTCAAATTACAGAACAACATAAAGAAAATAACAACAAAATCAAGAAAAATAAAACAAAGGCAAAAGTGTGTTATGAAAAGAAATTAAACTTAGTTTTAAAGCAGAGAGGCTCTTCACATTTACAGTTTACATTACATGCGTCTCCGCTCTGCTGCGGTGCGCAGGTCACAGGTGTTTGTTTGTGTCTCAATTTATACAGCCTCTGCTCCGCTCCGGTCCGACAGAGTGTGCAGGAAGGAGATCGCGTGATAAATTCAGTGATAACAGCAAAAAATACTGTGAAAGACGAACTCTAAACACAACTGAAAATGACGATATAAAGGCTTTTGGTATCTATATTGAAACTGTCTCGCTGTCGTCTTTCTGAAACTTCTGATTTCAAAATAAAATCCACGTGTATCDTGTGTGTACACATATGCTTCATGCTACGTTTCCATCTGCTTCCCATACATTCTGACAGCATTTGTGTAGAAATATATCCATATATTTATTAAGATAGCTGCAATTTTGACATTATTCCGACAAATTATTCTGCCGAATAGTGTCTTATTTTGAAAATACGGATGTTGTGCTCGTTCCTTTTCCTGTTGGTGCGATGTAATCTTTAAAACTTGACTCCGGCGCAGCTCCGGAGTCTGGCAGAAATAGGACCTGTTGTAATTTTTACAGATCGCCATCCGCTCACCGCCGCCCTGCGCAGCYGTGCGCAGCCAATGTAAATACCGTATTTTTCGGACTATAAGCCGCATCAGACTATAAGCCGCACCTGCCATTTAAAAAAAGCCCTGCGAACATTAGCATATAAGCCACACCGGACTATAAGCCGCACCCCCAACATAAAAAAAAAAAAAACAGTACACCCAAAATTGTCGTCAAAAAAGTGAATTCAACATCAAAACATAAAAAGCAAACCTTTAGGAATTAATGTTCGGAGGAATACGATTCATTTAACTGACCTTATTTTGGAAGTTTTCTTTAACAGTTTCTGGTCCAACAWAACGTCTCATTCATCGTCCTCCGGCGCACTGAAACCATCGAAGTCCTCTTCTTCAGTGTCGGAGTTAAACAAGCTGAGAAAAGCTGCTTCACACAGCGGTATCTGTTCAGTGTTGCTTTCTGTGTCGCTGTCCTCCCGGGGTAATGCTGGCTCTGAGGCTGTGGTGCCCTCTTCACGTAGCAGTTCAGCCTTACAGAACCCATTGGTGATGGTGGACTCATTCACTCTGCTCCACACTGTTAGGATCCACTGGCAGACATCAGGAAATGACGCTCTTC